GACACAGCATCAATCGCAAGTTGACGCTGCCGTTGAAGGGGAGGTGAATCATCACCTCGACAGCAAAGAGTAAGATCGCCGACATAAAGAGTGGAGAAGATGCTAGAAGAAAGGGAGGAAAGACCATTGAGGACAACCAAAAAAAAAAAAAAAAAAAAGAATAGTGCTCAGAAGACTACCCTGGGGTACACCTTCGTATTGCCAAAAAGAGGCAGAGAGAGTGGCACCAAGCCTGACTAGAAAAGAACGATGAGAGAGAAAGCTTTGAAGGAAGAGAGGGAGATTACCACGAAGGCCAAAAGAACGAAGCTGGGACAGAATATGGTATCTCCAAGTTGTGTCATAAGCCTTTTCCTGATCAATAAGGACAGCAACAACAGAGGTCTTCGCAGCAAAAGCAGTATGAATATAGACCTCCAAGTTCACCAGGACATCAGTCATGCTACGGCATTTGCGAAAACCAAATTGAGAAGGAGAGGTGGTGATGGTGTTCCTAGAACCACATCAGACGAACATTTACCATGCGCTCTAAGAGTTTGCAGACAACTCGTGAGGGCAATAAGGACTTCCGCCCTAATGGATGTCCCGAGAGACCCCGGTTTCCAAATAGGAAGGATAATGGCATCTAGCTAGTCCGCAGGGACTGACGACAACTCCCAGACCAGGTTATACAGATGCAGTAAATATTGAGACTTGCAAGGAAGGAGATGGCGAAGCATCTCATAATGAATGTCATCCGAGCCCGCTGCCGTAGAACCGCAGAGGGCCAGGGCAGATTGAAGTTCAGAAAGAGAGAAGGGATCGTTATAGGGAAGGCGGAGACGAGTGCGGAAATCTAAGGGATGAGATTCAAGAATGGGCTTACGAAGGAGGAAGGATTGAGGAAGATGAGAACCAGAGCTAACAGAAGAAAAGTGGGAACCCAGTTCGGTCGCGACCTGCACTGGGTTCAACACAAGAGTACCACTGAGGTGAAGAACCAGCGAGATATCTGGAACGAACTTGCCCACAATCTTGCGGATCTTCTTAAAGATCTGCGGCAGAGGAGTATCGGACGTAATGGTGGAAACATAAGATTTCCAACTCTCACACTTAGCTGTATGGATGGTCTTACGGGCCACCGCACTTGCTTTTTGAAACAAAATATAAGAATTAGCCGTCTGCTGGCGTCGGTGTTTCTTCCAGGCTGCACGCTTACAGTGGACAGCCCGAGCACAGTTCGCATTCCACCAGGGAACGCACGCACTGTGTGCCCCGGGAGGTAGAGCGAGGAATAGAGCGGAGGGCAGCGCCGAAGACTGTGTCATGAAAAAGGAAGAGGGCACGAGGAAGAAACAGAGTGGAGAGGTCAGAGAGAATAACACAGAGGGTGAATAGGTTCCAGTCAGCTTTGGCAAACTGCCACCTAGGGAAGGATAGGGAAGGGTTTAGAGAGAAAAAGGAAACAAGGATGGGGAAATGGTCACTGTTATGGAGGTCATCAAGAACCCTCCACGTGAGATCTAAGTAAAGGGACGAGGAGCAGAGAGAAAGATCAAAACAGGAAAGGGTGCGAGTTCGAGAGTCCACATGGGTGGGCTCACCAGAATTCATTAGAGACAGAGAAGAAGAGAGGACGAACGGTTCGAGAAGGCGGCCTCGAGTGTTTGTCAGAACATCACCCCAGAGAGTATGTCGACAGTTGAAATCACTCAACAGGAGCACCGGCTCAGGCAAGGAGTCCAGGAGGTGCTTAAGATCAGGAAGGGAAAGCAGGACATTTGGTGGGAGATAAATGGCAGGAGACCTTCCAGGACAGAACATAAAAGAACAGGGAAGGTGGTGGTGGGCGTGTCTAGGTCCAAGGCCTGGAAACAGTTGCAGGACTGAGGAAGGTAGGAAGGACGAGGAGAGGTAGAACGCAACATGTGAGCATAAGATACACCAGTGAAAGGGTGGAGACGGCGGACTTGGCGTCTCGCTTCAGGAAAAGTCAGACGATCCCGGTGTTTCATGTTTAGGACTGCTTCCTCAAGCTTGTAGTAGATACACGTGCGGGAGAAGGTAGGGTCGGCCTCACCGCAGTTGAGGCAGTGAGTCTGAGGAGATGAGCAATCTGTCTTAGAATGGCTATCGTCCCCACACATGGGGCATAGAGAAACAAGACTTGTGCATTTGAGGGCACCGCGCTCGAACTTCCAGCACTTATTACAGTCTAGGAGAGGGGATGTACACCTGCACGGAGCACCTGGCACCAGCAAGAATGATAAGAGGGCGGAAGGGACCTACTATCGAAGGTGATTTTCACAACTCGAAGGGGCTGATGGCGGCGACTACGAGGGGGTCGAGTAAACGTGTCCACCTGGAGGAAAGGATGGCATTGGGCTTTGAGGATATGTTTAATATCCTCATGGTAGTCTTAGGTCCTTAACACCAGTTGCAACATGGTGCGGGAAGAGAACAGTGTCAACACTGGCATTTAACTGAGCATTTTTGGAGACCAGAACAGGGGTCTCCCCAATGCAGGACAATGCGGATAAGCAGGTAGCTGCATCCGGTGAAGGAGCAGTGATGATACGTGTACCTAAACGGGTGGGGTTAAAAGTAACAGAGGCATCCACCGAATCAACAAGGTGTTTATGAAGTGAGAAATCGTCAGGTGGTGTAGAATCAAGAGGGAGATCACAGTATTTAGCCCACGAAGCAGGACCAAACAAGGCTTGGTACATATTAGTGTGGGAAGGGATCGTGCGAGTGTGGCCGGGGCGGAGACAGCATTGAGAACCCCAAGAGGGGGGTTAAAAGGTGCAGTAGTCACAATGAGAGACTGAACCACGCCAGGGGACGAGGTGTCACCATTGGGGGCGTATGGCTCGATCCAACCACAGAGGAGAGAGAAGAGCCGGGGGAAGCAGTCAGGAGGGTCAAAGGAGGAGCTAGGTCTGGGCCCAATGTAGCGGGGACTACTGAGACCGGTCTTCCAACACAATCCATCTCGTCGGCTTGGTCGCCCACCCCACGAGCCTGAGAAGTCATAAGAGGAACAGTATTCAACGACATGAAAACGAGAGGTAATACTTTCATTCATGAATGTGCCCCCGTACCCACAATTAGAGGATAGGACACCCAACAAGAGACATGTTGCCTGTCTTGCTGGGCCCCCCCAGGGGTGTGTCGTGTGTATACGCCCCACAAACGCGACCTTAAGAACCATCAGTCTGTCGAGATCGAGTTCAGTTACGAAAGAAGGATCAACAATAAAAGGGTCCCCTCGCTCGAAACGTTGGGTACTGCAGTTCTACGGGTGAGAGAGTATGCCTCCCCAAACTCCCCTGGCATCAAAACAGAAGAAGTCCAAAAGAATAATCAAGACTGGCAAAAGGTCGGCAGGAAATGACAATTAGAAAGGGGAAGGGGGGGGAGGGTGACAAAAATGAAACACAAGGAAGTAAGTAAGTAATTATCAAAAGAAGGCACCAAACCGGGAAGGCTATGTAGCACCATCAAATGCGCAAAATAATCAGAGGGCGCTAAATATCATCAAGGATGCCAATACGAGAACAAAAACACATAAGGCGAACGATATCAAAAGTATCCGAGTCACCAAGAATTCTATTGAGGGACAGGTGACCGCGAGGGGCGGTCGGAAAGCAAGACACACGCTCGTCCTGGAAGTCAGGACATTCAAGAAGGACATGCATGACCGTAAGAGGGACAATGCAACTAGGACAATAAGGAGCCGGGCGGCGCTCCATCAAGTGACCATGGGTTAGACGAGTATGGCCAATACGCAACCTCGCCAGAACTGTTTCCCACCGCCGGTTACGGTGGAAGGAGGACGGCCACGAGGAAACACAACATTTAAGAGTACGTAGCTTGTTACCAGTAACAGACAACCAAGAAGCCTGCCAACGGTTAAGGACTGAGGAATGGATAACCGGGTAAAAGTCGGAATACGGAATGCCTTTACGAGAGATGGGACAAGAGCGGACAGCTTCCTTGGCGGCAGCATCCACACGCTCATTTAAAAGACACACCAATATGGCTGGGAACCCAACAAAACTCAACTGACAAATTTACTGTGAACAAGAAACAGCCAATGCTGGATCTCGACAACTACTGGATGAACCGGATTAAAGGACCCGAGAGCCATGAGGGCACTACGAGAGTCAACAACAACTACAAAGGAAGACTGACAACGAGAAAGCAGGAGACGAAGAGCATAGAGAATAGCATAAAGTTCCGCTGTAAAGATGCTAGTCTCCGGAGGTAAGCGACACATATAAGTGCGATCAGGAAAAACAACAGAGTAGCCAACACCGTCCGCTGACTTAGACCCATCGGTGAAAACAGAAACGGAGCGGGAGTGAGAAGAAAAGTGCTCAAGGAAAAGACGTTTTAGAACCGTAGGAGGGGTAAAAGCTTTAGTGATACGGGTCAAGGAAGTACAAAACCGCGGAAGAGGGACTCTCCATGGGGGCAAAGAAGGAACGACACGAGGAGAAACATTAGAAATACGAACGGAAAGAGAATCTTGGAGGCGAGATAACCGGACAGAAAGAGGGAGGCGGTGAAGAGGAACTGGAACCGCAGGAGGGGTAAAAGTTAAAGCACGACAGAGGCGAGAGGAAGGATGTTGTAAGGACCGCGCAAGATAGCGAAGACAGTAGCGATCACGGCGATCCTGGAGAGACAGGAAGCCAGTGTCAACATACAAGCTACGGACGGGAGTCGAATGAAAGGCACCAGAACTGAGGCGCAACCCAGTATGGTGCAAAGCGAAACACAAGGAAAAGGAAGAGAGTTCTGACAAAATTGTTAAAGACAGCAGCAGGAACATAAGGCTTCAAAAGGACAGAGGACTGACCCATGGAGCATTACTCTCCGGCAGCTGCCCACCAAGCCCCCTCACGACATCAACGGGTCAGAAAGGGAGGGGAACCACCTCAGTAAGCTCTAATTTATTCACCTAAACACATTGAAAATGCTTATAACAACCAATGGTGGACAAAAAACAAATGTTTAGTTCTGTAATGGCTTCACTCCCAATTTTAATGCTGACAGTATGTCTATACACACAAATTATGGTTATGAAGTTTAAAAATCAACATGCCAGTTCACAATTTAAAAGGACATGGCATTTGATTGCTGTTTTAATCACACAGTTAGGTTTTGAGTACAGAAGACACTACTTGTAACATCCTTATCAAACTGCTTTAGAATATTGGTTCCAAATCTTATGTAAATCTGAAGTTATTGCAGTTAGGATAAATTGTTTATTAATATTAAATGAAATATACAAAAACTTTTAAAATTTGGTATCAAAATACATGCAAATACTGGTCAGTTACATAACTGGTCACACTTCATATTGGCTTGCAAAGGGGGAAGTATAAGTGGACATCACTTGCTCACACAGTCACACACATTCTCTCCAATACAAGGAATTGGATTGAAAAAAGTTAATTACAGTCCAGAAGTACCTTCTCTTTCCTTGCTCTTACTTTATTCAAACAAATTTTAAACAAAACATTATTAAAACATTAGTACAAATAATAACAATAAATTTCATTATACCAGTCTCTTAACTAACTCTGATATTATCAATTCTTTATTGATTGTGACATTCTCAAGTCAGAGAAAGGGTAATCAAAATCAAATTCTACAATCAAAGCCTATGTATTGCCAAGTCCTGACTGACAAACAAAGCACCAATTTTTGTTTGGTACACAACTTCCAACAACCTCTTGCAATGAAGAAGACCACTCGTGTATGTCAATGTTTGACCTTTGTAGTGAGAAAAATAAATAAAATAAAATTGTTTTTAATAAAAACACTAAAAAAATGAGCGAGGAGAGACATTAAATTTCTCCCCACCACCTGTTGAGTCTGTTTCCACCCTTGCTTGAGAGTATCATCCAGTGTGCCTGCTATTAATTAGAAATTTGAAACATCTACAAAGGTTATAAAATTGGAGCAATAGAATTGAAGATCAATGTTTTGGAAAGGTTTCTTATAATAAACTTGGTCACAGATGAGGGTCGTTTCTCATTTTCTTGAAGGTTCGTTGAACGTTGAATGACAAATTATAATCATAATAAAATTCTAAAATTTATATTTCAATCAAAAAGTTTTCATTTGGTAATTACATTATCAATGGCATCAAACAAATTTAAAGCAAGATCTGCTTGGCAGTTCTTTGTGATAATCACAAAGTTGCAATTTTTCAAAAAATTTCTTGCATGTGAAAAGAATTAATATGTACTGTTGCAATTTTGCCATATTCAGAAATAGTTGAACAACGTGACAAAGCATGTCAAGACACACAGGACATGATAGTAGTACAAGAACACTAGAGGATCCCATTTCATCTTTGATGTTTCTTGCCATGATGGGATTAAAGTGAGACTAATACATATCACCAATCAATAATTATAACAGAGCAAGACTTGAAGCAGTTCAGAATCCATGTACGACCACTCAAACACAAATAAAAGCTAAATGAAAAATCAAAGGAGAATAGCTGCTCCTAACAAAAGAAAGTAAATGCTTTTTGGAAAACTAAATTGCCTTTTCTTGTATAAACCAGGCACATCAAGCAACAAATTTTCTCAAATCTCATCAAAACTGGGCAAAAAATGTCCCCCAAATCAAAGAAAATACTTCCACAGCTAAACTTCACTCACAGTGAGCCAACACCCTGGACTGTTTATACTTCTTCAATTCCATCACCATGATACGACAAAAAATGGCAGTGAATTGGCTTGAAAACAAACAATGAAGGCTTCTATTCATCACTGTTTGGTAACACAGATTGAAGTATCCTACTCGGGGATGGTCAACATGGAGCAACAGACATGGACACAAATACGTACGGAAATGTTTGCCTGCATCAGTAGCTTGAGGCTCCCACTCATTCTCCACTAGCAAGACACCCTTCCACTAAACAGGCACCCACTTCCCTACTCCATTCACCACAACCTTACTACAATAATGGTGCTAGCATAAGATGTAAACGGTTCCTTTCCTCATTCTCAGCTTATGCATCATCTACTATTGTGTTAAATGTATAGGAACATCAAATTACTGTATGCTTAGCACGTTCCATGCCGAGTTTACATTCCACACCTTTTTATTTTCCACAATCTGCCAATAAACGTCCAAACCACTTTTTCTACAAATTTCCAGTATAGAAAATTCCATTACATACAGCACACCAAAAACTGATAAGAAATTTTGCCTTTAAAGTGAGGAAAGTTGCTACACCAAGCTCAACTACCCACGTGGGTACTCTTGGTAGAAGGGCGCCTACAAGCCTGGCCAGGACACACATGCTGGCTACAGCTATACTTGCCTCATGTCACCACACTATCACCCACTGCTCAAAATTTTATTTTACTAAAATATAAGAAATCCACATATATATGTATTCTTCATACATAATTACATAAATAACTAAAAAATTGTAACAATTTCCAATCTTGAAAGAAAATTTTCTTTTAAAACTGCTAGATGTTAGTTACTGGTATCTGACAGTCAACTGCAGATCAGCAACATGGAGGGAAACAGGCGCAATACTTAACCAGGAAAACCAATATTATAAATTCATGAAAATTTAAATCTAATATTAACATAAAAAACTATACCCCTGCCAGAGACAGAGGACCAGTGCCATCAGCCAGCACTGGGCCACTGAGACGAGCCACAGCCAGTCACTCCTTAGATTGGTCTGCATTGCAGTAGATCTCATCCCCTCCTTACTTCTATACACTTTGTATAAAAAAAACAAAATAAAAACAAAAATAAAACAAAAAAATGTTTCTGAGTACTCTAATACACAAACCTATCAACTACACATCCTTTATCCAACAAAAATCATGAAATACAGATAACATGATACCTCTTGAAACAAAACAAAAATATAAGCACACACACACAGGAGACTGCAGACCAGTCTAGGATGCTCATGTAAAAATCAGCAAAATGAAAGTGTATGGGGGCACAATGCCCAGGACTGATTGTATATAGAGGTGGAAGAGAAACATGGTGGTGAGGATGAGTGATCAGGCCTGGTCTGGGGATCACACATTATTACCACCTCAATACACATGGCCAACACCCTACCAAACAGTTTTTACAGTTTTATGTAGAAAGTGATCATTCATATAAATAACATGATTAGTTACATAAATCTTTTCACAAAAAAACTCTCGGTATCAATTATAGATGTATGTAAACTCCCATTTCATCCTACTCTGTTACTATTAAAGCTGTGTCAATCATTCTTGCATGCTTTCATGTCATGTTTCCTCCAAATGCACCAACAAATGTACCTTTCCACAGTCCACAAGATAAGCCTTGTTATGAAGGATGGGGGAAGTTTGAATTTGTCGTCCAACACTTATGTTTCTTGAAGCGTATGGTCCACCACTGACATCCCAAACTCTGCACTTAGAAAAAGCATGACAAGATTGTACAGCAAGATAATTCACATACTAATTAAGTCTCTATCTATAGCAAATCATTTTACAAAGTAAGTAAACAAAGTGTGATGTGTCCTGACTTGAGGTTTCAGTCTTCGTAGATGGGGAAAGTCGCTGAATTTTGATGGTGCCTAGCCACAGCCTCGAGCACTGTCCTACCTGACCTCTTGGTCCACTGGCAATACCAGCAGAAGCTACCAGTGAAGGTATCGTTAACCTTATCAATGGCCAGCACCATTACTGACCCCAAACAGTCAAGTCAACATGCTGTTCATGTTATCTCTTTCCAAAGGCTTGTCAATTATTTTTTCAAATTTATAAGGAACAAGAGGACAGGTCCTGAGGCTCTGCTGATGGCACTGTTGGCGAGTTGGGTGGGAACCCATGGAGGCTAGAGGGCATCCAGCAAGGCAGGCAGGTGGCAGGGGGACAGGACGGTACTCTGCCACTTCACTTGGGCACCATAATGCTATTACATGAGTATGATGTACAGTCCCTATCTGGCTTCATGTATCTGCCGTCAATCTAGATCCGACTTGACACAAACCGTACTGTCCCCAGTCCTTGAACTAGCTCCATGGTTGTTGCTCTTGCTCCTGCTGGTACATCATCTGCTGCTGCTAAGATGGGTAGTGGCAATGAAAGACAACATGACAACTGGTGGCAGTGGCTGGTGAGGTCAGTCCGCATTGGGACGGCGGCACACGACTGCTGCCCACCACCCACGCACCCGTCATAACCCTTTGTGTACCTATAATGAGTTTGTGATTCCTGTTATTCCCATATTGCTGTCATCTTGATCTGTTGATATAAACCAAATCTTGCAAGTGGTCATGCAAAGGGTGCATGGCAGGTGTGTGGACTGGGCAGCAGTACACCATTCCAAGGCTCAACTCCACCACACTGCTTAATGGGCACCGGCCTAGTGTGGCCTCACACAACAGTAACAACAGTTCAGTTACCATGACTTTCTCAACAATAACTGTATGTAACCTGCAGTGAGCCATGTCTATGTTGGGTTCTATAGAGGTTCTGTATACTGGATTCACCAAGCTTTTTCAACGATTCACTCACAAGTGCGTGATAAACATATCACAGTGAGTTCTTTAAATGCTACACACATAAACAGGCAATCAGTTACTGTAATTCCCATATCATCAAGTTACAATGCCGCCAATGACAGTAAGTCTTCTAGTATTATATTTATCACTTATGTTTGTCTATAAATTCATTTTCTATAGCTTTGGAAGTCTACCAAGGACATTTTCTTTTCCTTCTGCAAACAGAGGCAACAGATTTTCCGTTCTCACTGGTATCTGTAATTGGTTCATAAGCTATACAATAAATGACTCTGGTTATAGACTTCTCTTTACACTTTATACAAGAGTAGACTGGGAGTAGATTGGCAGTTTGTGGTGGGAATGGCAGCCAAGACAAGGGCTGGAGTAACAAGAGGGTCCTCCTGAGGGTAGGTGGCAACAGTGTGGTCTCTCAGCACTGGTGTGACCACTTACTGACTGCCACAACACAACACCATCCCCACACGTGCCTGTCACCAGTCAATCCTTTACCATACCTAACACTGCCACATAACTCATTTATTACTCTCACTAGGGCCCTTCTCTCCACCATCCTTCATTTTGTCTACATAATCAGCAAATATGTCTCGAAACCGTGACCAAGATTTTTCTGGGATGGTAATAGCTGTCCTGAAGTTAGTCTTAACCTGCAATATAAAAATTTGAGGAATTAATGTGCTAGAACTTTGAAAATAATTATATATAAACACACACCACACTTTAATATTATGACATGCTGCCTTCCTTAAACTAAAATTCATTTACATTACGTACTGCAAACTAATATGCACTATATTTTTTTGTATATTTGTATTTCACAACGTGAATGCTAATCATATTTAAAATATTTATTTTAATAGGTTCTAAGAAAAAAAAGTTAATCTTTACATGCATTACAGATACAAGAATAAAAGGGAGAGAATATATTTTCCTACCTCAGATATACGCATATAGATTCCTCGGTTATTCTGTCCTATGTCAAAATAAAAATTCTTGTTTTCTACTCGCATATGCCGTCCTTCCGGTAGCTCCCCTTTGTAGCCACCATCATCTGTACCAAATTCGTCGAGTAACTCCTGAAGAGCATCACGAAATTCTATCATGCCTTGAGCTGGGATAGCGATTTGACACCGTGGCCCACCCCTTGCTATTGTTTGTGAAACCTGCAAATGTTAAACTCTTATTAGGATATTTATTGAAATTGGCTAAAAGCAAACAATTCAACCTATGCTTTGTGAGGGGTCTAGTCTGGGTTCATATCCTGACCAGGGAGGATTGACTAAGAATTAAATCCTAACTGTTCCCTGTTTACCCAGCAGTAACTGGGTACCCAAGTTCAACAGATTTATGCGTCGTGTTCCAAGGAAAACTAGTAGGTAAGGCTAATCATGGGAAGGAAAAGCACTCAGCTTGTAACAGGAGTCAGAAGTCATTTGTTTCTGTACCCCCATGTAAAAGAAACTATGCAGTGAATTAATGCTAGGTACATTCACATTTACACAAGTTGTGTGTGTGAACACATTATCCAGTGGTCCATCGGCGTGGGAAATTTAAGTTAACGACCACATGTATGGTTCACAAGTTGTGGGCGCTTGTCATGTGCACAGGGATGTGCTCTATTATGTTCAAATTGGTTAACTCATTCAAGCATATGCATTCTCAATTGTAAAAAGTCAATCTTGCAGGGAACAGTACTTGCTCCAGTACTCTTCCTCATTCTCATATTCAACAGAGGAATTCTGATGAGTACAAATTATAAAGGCAACAGCAAACCTCCAAAATGATGTAAACCAAGTCTTTCAATGCACAGCAGCCTAACCTAACCTTAACCCATAAACTGCGCATATCATATATATATATGATATCAGTGACAAAACCGAAACTGTGCACATCATTTATATATGCTTTCGTGTCTAGCGCTATAATTTAAGCGCCCCGCATGGGATAGGGGCAGCTATAGTACAGCCACGACCAATAGTTGCCAGATGCCACCTAGAAAAAAATCCAGGCCAACATTCTTGGGTATGAGAGCTTCAGTATTGAGCAAGCCACCAAGGCTGGCGCACGCAGCACGAGCTCACAGCACCGCTGTTCAGCTTTTGACAACAGCATCGCCTACAAATGTCATAATATATATGATCCTGCTATTATTTAGCGATGATAGTATTATAGAAGATCCCTGACTGATAAAACTGACCAGGGTTCTGATAATAGCAGGATTGTGGTGATATTTAGCGTTGTGCTCCATGGAGAGAGGAGTAATGCTGTGGGAGGGAAGGTAGTGGCGTCGTCTTCTGACTGTGTGGCCACCTTTTATTGACTGCACTCACCATGCCAGCTTAGTGGTTCACTATGGTGAACACAAATGTAGATACTTATATATAACGTGTATATAGTGTGAGATAACAGCAATAGGAGTAGGTTGGGAGCCGCCATTTTGGTGAGGGAGGTGCGTCGTCTGCACAACTTAACATGTTGTTTACTGATGGCCACTATGGTCTTTGGGCACCATACCAGCTTATTTGTATAGGTATGGTGAATAAAACAGGTAGATACTTATATATAATGTGTGTATATAGCGTAATAACATCACAAACAACATTGCTGGAGGAGAAATATTAGTGCGTCTGGCCTTGAAGGCGGCCGCCACCAGCTGACTGTGAATAGCTACGTCTTCATGTCTTTACTCACCATACAAGCTTAGATGTACAGTTATGGTGAACAAAACATGTAAATACTTATATATAACGCCTATGTATAGTGAATAAATGCAAAAACAGTATTGTGGGAGGAGAATGAGAGCGAGTGAGGTGGTGTCGAGGGAGGGAGTGGCAACGAGTGGCTGGCTGATGTGTGGCAGTCACTCCTCGTTGCTTTTTGACTCAAGACCAACTTAGTGGTTCGTTATGGTGAACAAACATGCAAATACTTATATATAACCTATGTGTATATAGTGTAACAACAGCAAAACTATTTGTTTATTGTTTTAAGAACATAATAATTGAATCACTAATATGCACATCATAATTTTGAGTACAGCAATGGTTCACACATTTTATTATATAAATATATCACAATTCACTGTATTGAATAATATTACTGCAAAAAACTAAGAAAAAATCAGAGACATTGAAATAATTAGGTAATAATATATTTGTGGCAACTGCCGCCTGACAGCTCGAGCAGAATAGACCTCGTCTGGCGAAGGCTCTGTCAACGCCCCTTTTTTGCCACACTTCCCTACCCTATTGCGGCTAAAATATGCCACCTACGATTTTTTTTTTTTCCGTGATCAGGGAACAAAAATGAACACTTCTATAAAACGAAAGAATTTTTTGTAATTTTTTTTTTTGTCACGCTTGTGGGTGTTAAATCCATTTAGGCCCCTAGCGGTTTGAGGGTTAATCAGTCATTCTTGTTCTCAATATAATATTATTAATTGAAATAAATCAATTTATAAAGATAATATTTGAAAAGGAAAGAACTAGCATTGAATGTAATGAAATGCCATTTTCTGGGCGAGACCTGGAGGCTCCCCGGAGCTATCCAAGCTGATACGAGTGTATTAGACCCTAGCCCTCTCAGAGAGGCACGAGGAGCAATGGCCTATAAAGACCCCCCCGTGTAGTTGGAAGCATTCTGTGTCTGCCACTGACTGGGTCAGGCACCCAGAAAGGTAAGCATCCCAAAACGAACCCTTATTTGGGTTAAAATATTGCTACTGAAAGCCGAACCTGTGAACAGAACGCCCCAAATGAAAACGTGCAAACAAGCACATCACCACCACATAGCCATCTGCGCAACCCCCCCTCCCAGGAAGGGGGAAAGGGGTAGCCCCAAACCCCCGTGGCGGCTATCCACCCTGCAGTTCTGAGGCTGGATGTCAAAACACCCAAGAAAATGCAGACTGAAGGGAGGGAAGGTTGCCAGGAAGCCTCCAGGGTCTCACCCAGAAAATGGCATTTCATTACATTCAACGCTGGTTTTCTGGGCGGAACCTCGTCGGCTTCCCAGAGCTACTTACCCAAAGATAACACAAGAGGGACAAACCTAGGAGGGGATCGCCAACACACCAAACTGGCGAATGACATGGGCACGAGGATAGACCACTGGCGGGCCGGACTGAAGTACCCAGCGGACGACCAGGGAGACCAGGGAAGAAGTAAAACCGAGACAACCCAAAGCACATCCCTGACCACTGAGGCCATGGCGTGCAAGTAACAATAGAGAGCCGCAACCGAACACAACACACGATGCACCCCCGGCCTGACCAACCAAGCATCAACAACCCAAGGACCCCTCTGGATAGCAGCAGTCTCAATCCTCGCCAGAAAAGAAGGAGATGGTTACAAACAAACAAACCTACCATCAGGATCGAAAGAGCAGAAACCCCTGCACTGGAGGAGAACATGAAGCTCCCCAACCCGACCCCCAAAGGCCAATGCCAACAAGAAAAAGAGCCTTGGAAAAACAATCCTGAACCAAAGGGGACACCACAAACCGAGGAGGAGAGAGAAAGGAGAGAACCCGGTCCAATGACCAGGATGGCTCAGGCGGCGTATGAGCAGGCCGGAGGCGAAATAATGCCCGAGACAGCATGCAGAATGGTGCTGAAGTCACACCAATGCAAAACACAAGCTGCAGTGGCTCCGCCAGTTTTGCATGATATGAGGCGACAGTATGCAGCATAAGATGACGGTCCTGAAACAACCACAAAAGAAAGGACAAGACCGAAGTACCGAACAAAGACCGAAGTAAACCGGCGAAGGGACAAGAATTAATGGAAGGACCACAAGGAAACTTTATATTGCCGCCGAGATGAAGTACGCAGGTGGGACACCAACAACGAAGCCACCTGCAAAGGAAGTGGTCTGAAAGTACCACACTAGATCCAGCCAAGACCGAACCTGAAAGGGAACCAGACAGGACTTCCTCCAGTTCACCAGGAACCCAAACCCAACGAGCGGGAAAGAACCAAATCCCTGGCAAGCAGACACGTGGACCGGCTGGGAGCCAACACCAGCCAGTTGTCAAGATAGGCCAGAACCCGAACCACTAATAATCGCAAATGGGCCACCATGATCCAGGTAAGGAGTGAGAAGACTTAAGGTGCCAGATTAAAGCCTACTGGAAGGGAACGAAAGCAGTAACCCCGACGTTCCACAACAAAACAAAACCAGTCCCTGAACCCCGGATGAATCGGGACGTGCCAATATGCGTCCCGGAGGTCCAGGGACACCATCCAAGCACCCGGCTCCAAGAAAAGTCGGACCTGGGACAGTAGTCATCTGAAAGGAGGGGCAAAAGACCCAGGGCTTCAGACGGGACAAGTCGAGAATGAACTGAAAGTCTGTAGTCCTGTTTTGGGACTGGAAACATACTGGAAAACCACCTGAGGGACGTCGTCATTTTGACCACGTTCCAAGCGTCACCACTCCGAGATGACCCGACAGAGGAAGAGGCCTGCCCCGCCGGCCTCGAACCCCCTGAAGGAAGAGGGGCCACCCAATGCCACTGCAGGCTGCTTGAAACAACCCAAAAGGCCCACATATTGTGGGACCAGGCGTGAGCAAACAGAGCGAGCCTCTCCCCCAGTGCCCCGTCAATGGGACGAACTGCGAAAGGGCCGACGCCCCTTACGTGAACCCGACCTTTGCTACAGAGCGATCCTTGCACCGACCAAACGAATGCCTGGTCGAAGGCTGCACCGGCCCTGAAACCGGCACTACTGGCCTATCACATTGGGAGGAACCCCCAAGCCCTGGCCCTACCCTTCAGGGAAGACCCATCCCACTGGCCCCCTGGAGAACCAACAAGTCGACACTGGACGACAACTGGAAGAACCTGCCTGCAGATAATGCCCAACTGCAGAGTCTGCAACAGCAAGGGACAAAAAGGCGACGAAAACCTAAGAGCCAGGGACCACGCAGATTCCAAAGAGGTCGCGAACATAGCCTGCCGACACACTAGACAAGAAGCAAAAAACAGAGACACTGCATCCCGCAGGATCGGCGCGAACAGCTTCAACAGGGCAGACAATGCATGAGCCACCGAAACCAAGACACTAGAACCAAGAACAGCCCCAAGCACATCCTCCTCAAGCCAATCCAAGGACAGCTTCAGGAAGACCCCTCACAGTGTTCAAGAGAGAACTGGATAAGCACCTCCGAAGGATACCTGATCAACCGGACTATGACTCATACGTCAGGCTGCGAGCAGCCGCATCCAACAGCCTGGTTGATCAGTCCAGCAACCAGGAGGCCTGGTCGACGACCGGGCCGCGGAGACCGAAGACAACAGGCCACGAGCATGCAAATCCACAGTAATCAGTGCAGCTGAAAGGGTGGGAACTTTCATGTGAAGATGCACGATGCCAACATTCCGCAGAAGGGCCTGGGCGAACAAGTACGCATTGAGGTGCTCAACTTGCCCCCCAGGTAAACCTGGACCACCATCAAGAGCCTCACGCCACTCAAGCGTGCAGGACCGACAGAACGTGTGCCAAGCCCCCCAATGAAAAAACAGGGCAGTTTGCAAGCCAAGATGACTCCGAAATCTCATAACGAACCCAGTAAAGAGATGAAGAACCAAACTTGAATGAAGACGGATTCATTAAAGACGCATAATCTGGGTCATGCAGGAGGTAAGCTGCAATGGCTTCCTGCACTTCATAAGGCATGATGCAGAAAGCCGAAAACCTCTGGAAGGACAGGACCGATGGACCCGAGGGGACACGGAACCAAACCCAGGAAGGGGCTGACACTAAATACAACTTGTATGCGGAAGGGGGGGGGGGGTGAAGAAAACTCCACTCCCTGTAACAATAAACCCCGCTCACAAGATACAAAAACCCAAGTGGGGTTCAATTGGGCCGAAGGCCCCCAAGTCAACACCTCCCCAGACCTGGGAACCTCCACAGCATGACCTGGGGCTGAACCATCCCCCAAAGCCCCAGTCTCAAAAGGAGAAGCCGGAGCAGCCGGAAAAGCAGGAAGGAAGGGGGGCCCACTGGTCAGACCCAGAAGCTTCAGCAGGAGGAACCGACTCGAATGCCTCAGTCAACACCTAGGAACGGGCATCCCCTGAGACTGCCCGAGTATTGATACCAACTAAAGCCTGCCCTGACCCCAAAACCCTCAGACGTTTCGGAACTGGAAGCAGGAGGGGGGGGGGGGGGGGGGGAAGGACCAGATTGAACCACAGCAGGGAAAGGACAAGAGGGTGCGAACTGAACCAAAGTCGAGGTGACTAACACCATTAAGTCCGGGTCCCTATAACCAAAACGGGGCAGCCTTAGGGCTTCTGGGTCAGCAACCAACCTAGCGCGCTGCAGCAACCTAAAACGAGCATGCAGCGCCTGCACTGCCTGCACCTGAACAGTGTCATCAGTGGACTGGGTGAACTGAGTCACAAACAAGCAACAAAACTTGCAGGACTCTGGGGCAAAGGTGTCACCGACCCAACAGACAGCATGAAGTACCTCTTTTTTTCTGGCTCAGCTGTTGCTCCGGGTTCTGGCTCGGCTGGATTCATATTGGGGATGAGTGGTTATCCTGGCTCCATGGTTGCCAGCCCATGGAGCAGGCAACCATGAGCTGGCAACCATGGGCTGGCAACCATGGATGGTTGACGACACCTCCTTCCTTGGCTTCGTCGGACGTACGAGCGCCCGGAGGTGGACCTCTTCGCGCCAGCGTGGTCTCGACATCTCCCATTGTACGTGGCACTGTTCTCTGACTGCAGACTCTCACAGTAAACGCTTTTTTGGCAGGACTGTTCCAGGAGGGGGTTCCTGTACCTTTTTTCCCCAAGTCCAGCTGTTGCTCCGGGTTCTGGCTCGGCTGGATTCATATCAGGAGTGAGTGGTTATCCTGGCTCCATGGTTGCCAGCCCAGCCTTAATTTCAGGTGCTGGTTGCTCAGTGTCCAAACCCGGGAGTCGTTCTGCGGCTCTGTATCTAACAGTAGATAGGAGAGATGAGGTATCTGGCTGGTTCAGTTTACTGCTTCACATTACGCATCAAGTCTTTCTGACGTGTGTGTGTGTATTGCTACTTGTATGGTGATTTGGTGGCTTCTTTGATGATGTCCTATCTGAGGTCTTCTTCTCAATGAGAGTACAAGTTTCTTATCTTCACATCTTCACACTATCTTCACACAAAAATATCACACGGCATTGGTGGAGCCACTGCGGATGGGGTTCGGAGTGGATGTTACTTCCACTCGGTTCCTCAAGTTTTCTCAGGCTTTTTTCACCTCCGTCCAGCTCATGAGCCGCCTGAGCCTTCTTGGTCTTTGGACCGAGTTCTTTCTTTTCTCTTTCCTCCTTGCTCTGTTGTGGCCCCTTCGGTAAGGGATTGCATTTGAAAGGCCTTGTTTTTGTTGGCCTTGGCCTCTGGGGGTCGGGTTGGGAAGCTTCACGCTCTCCTCCGATGTGAGTGGAGGATCTGGTTTGGATGGATCCGGTTTCCCTGGTTCCCTGTACCAGGGCTCGTGTCTCTCGGGTTGTCCAGTGTCATCAAGTCTAGACAGCCTGCGGTTTACCCTCGTGCCCATGATGTTAGGAAGTAGGCTGCTCTCGAAGGGGTTTTAGGGAACATGTCTTGGGTCGTAAACTCAGATTCCACCTGCATCTTGGCTGAACAAACCCCCCAAACACTTACCTGAACCACATGGTTCGGTATATCTCACACACCACCCTAAAACAAGGTAATTCAAGGGGAGTCAGCTCATAAAAGAGGAACCTCAACCCTTCAGAGTGTAACTCTTGTTGGGTAGGAACATGCATGCATATCACCAAAGTCGGTGAAATATTAAGCAAGTCCACATGCAATTTGGGTGACAAAAACACACACACACAATTACTGAATAGTAGCAACAAAGCAATAATCCCCAGAAGAGCCTAAGTTCCAGGAAAAGCCAACACCGATTAGCTGAAATGTGAAGATGTCAAGGCAGGCAGAATATATCAAAGGAGACATGCCTTTAGACTAGATCAGACAAGCAAGTGTGTGGGCTGGCTGAAACCCTTAGTGACCTCGGTTGCCACCTGATGGTGGGTAGGCACAACATAGCTGGTGTTTACATAGTAGCAATGACTGTTGGCTTCATTACCCTTGGGTACCTAATTTCTTTTATTTGTTTGCTTAGTTTGTTGTGCTTAGGTTTCTGGTGGGTTCCCCTCAGTTTTGGGTTTATCCGTGATCCCCAAGACTCCCTCATCTCCTAGAGCAAGCTAGATTTCGGTCATGACTTCTGGAAGGCAAGGGTGGGTTTCCAAGGCCTGGTGTTTCTCCATTTGGTATAGGGTAAACCAGCACTTAGTACTAAACAAGAGATTATTATTTTCTGTTAAAGGCATCTAGTAAATTATCATTGCAGTGCAACAAATTTTATCACAAAAAATAATTTATTGATTATTTTAGCTCTTAGAAGATAAGTTTGTCACTGAAAATGCTTCCACAGGCTACAAATGTTCTACTAAAACCACAAGTTATTTTTATAGAAAAATTATTAAAATTACTGTACAGTACATTAAACAATTCCCTAAGGAGCTTTCATTAAAATCTGTTCCTCACAAGACATAAAAACATACCAAACTCACCCTTAGGAAGCGCCCTCTTGAATTTTCTTTGAGGTCTAGGTAGTACCGTCTGTTGTCTTTCACCATAGTCTCGGACTTGAGTTTACCATCTTCAGGTAACGTATCGGGATTTGGTGGACCTGACCGAGGTACTAAATAATTAGAAATTGCTTTAACGCATCAGTATAATAAAACTGTATACATTATTTAATTTTTAATTCCTTTCATTATTTTAAATGCACAGTATATATATCAAGAGAAACAGGTTAAATATTTAAAAACATAACACACTAAACATCTTTCTATATAATAAAATCCCAATCAATTCCAAAGAACAATTTAAAAAAAAAGCAGCATCGACTGTAATGAACCGCCTCTTTCTAAAATGGTCTTGGCAGCTTCGTGAAGCTAGCTCGCTGGGACAGCTTCCCTCTTTTTGAGTCACATCAGCCTTAGCAGTGCTGTATACCCTACTGGAAACCAGAGCTAGAACATGGTTTGCTCCCAGAGGCACAGGCAGCACAGGATTTTTACAATCACCCTCACTGGGTAAACATCCAGAAAGACAGCAAAGTAATACAGACAACTGCAAGATTAACCCTTTAACTGTGCAACGCGCCTGCAGGCCCACGTCTGGAGTGCACTACGCACCTCCGGGTATTTGTATTTTTCCCGTTCCATTCAAAACTCCCGCGGCTACATGGGGTTCACATCAGCTTCCTCCGGGCTCTTGTAAACAGACGCCATCTTTAAAAAAAAATTGTGGTCCACATTCCCAGGTGTGGGAGCCTCAGTAGTGAGTGAGCAACCAAGGCCGGCACACGCAGCATGAGCTCACAGTACTGCTGTTCAGCATGTGACCACAGCATCGCCTAATAATATCAAAATATATATATAACTTGTATTATTTAGTTATGATAGTATTATAGAAGAGCCTGAGTGTGATAATGACTGTGTACAATGTTCAAATATCAGTGATTCAATGCTGTTCACAATGTTCACAGCACCAGCCACAGCACCAGCCACAGCATCACAGCATTATTTCGTCCATCTAGGAATCTTCAAACGACTTCTTAGGTTCCTTTACAAAATAATCTTGTGGTCAATTATGTATTTACAGGATTTAGTGACCAGTATTGTGATAACAGCAGGATTGTGGTGATAATAAGCACTGTGCATAGTATTGTGAGAGAAGGAATTGTGGTGAGGGAGCGAGGGAGAGAATCAAGGTACCTCACTGTGTAATTACCTAAGTGTAGTTACAGGATGAGAGCTACGCTCGTGGTGTTCCGTCTTCCCAGCACTCTTTGTCATACAACGCTTTGAAACTACTGACGGTCTTGGCCTCCACCACCTTCTCCCCTAACTTGTTCCAACCGTCTACCACTCTGCAAAAGTGAATTTTCTTATATTTCTTCGGCATCTGTGTTTAGCTAGTTTAAATCTATGACCTCTTGTTCTTAAAGTTCCCAGGTCTAGGGAAATCTTCCCTATCGATTTTATCAATTCCTGTTACTATTTTATATGTAGTGATCATATCACCTCTTTTTCTTCTGTCTTCTAGTTTTGGCATATTTAATGCCTCTTACCTCTCCTCGTAGCTCTTGCCCTTCATTTCTGGGAGCCACTTAGTTGCATGTCTTTGCACCTTTTCCAGTTTGTTGATGTGCTTCTTAAGATATCGGCACCACACAACCGCTGCATATTCTAGCTTTGGCCTAACAAAAGTCGTGAACAATTTCTTTAGTATATCGCCATCCATGTATTTACGCGTGGCATATGGTTCCTCGCACAATATTCCTTGTGTGGCAGCCACTCTTGTTTTGCTCATCATACGAGCTTAGTGGTTTGCTATGGTGAACACATTTGTACATGGGTATATACAATGTGTGTATATAGTATAATAACAGCAACAGGAGTATGTTGGGAGGAGCTATTTTGGTGAGGGAGGTGACGTAATCGTAGAGTCGTCTGATGGCTGTTGTGTTATTTCTCATGCAGTGTATGGTGGCCACTGTAAAGTTTGGACACAATACCGGCTTACTTGCATAGTTCTGGTGAATAAAACATGTAGATAGGTATACATAACATGTGTAAATAGTGTAATATAAACAATAACTATGTTGGGAGGAGCAATGTTGTCGAGTAAGATGTTGGAGGAGTGAAGGAGAGACTGGATGTTGGAGAAGTGAGGGTGTGGCAGCTGACTCTCGCAGAGTTCCGAGTGTGTTGATGGTGAATGTATATAGTGTGAGATAGTGTATAGTGTGTAAATAGACTTTATTATGTATGATGCTAATTTATTACATAAATTAGCATCATACAATAGAAATATGTGCCGGATATGTGTACATATGTGTCATGCACGTAACACAGTGTCTTCGGAGAGTACGGATGTTCTACTGCAATAATAAAGTGTATTTGTTCATTATACATAGGATTGGTACGTAAAACCAAATAAAATGTATTTGGAACTGTGCACAGAAAATGAACAAAATATATTCGCGGCAACTCGCGCATCCTGCCCCGGGGGCGTACGTCACGGGCGACCAGGGAATGATGACGTCACGTGCGAACTTACGGACCCCATAGCAGCCAAAGTACGTACAATTTCGACCTTCTGTTACTATACCCATACTCAGGGAAGGGTTTTTGACACTTTCAAAAAAACAAAAAAATAATTTTTTCCTGAGAATTTATTTCCTGCGCACTGGGGGGGGAGGGGTGTCATATTTGGAGGCTGCGCAGTTAACACTTTCGCGTTCCACAGACTGAATAATTCGTCACTCACTTTTCTACTGAATGTGTTCCAACGACGCAATACTGAGTCACTCATTACAATATTTTTTAAAAATTTAAATTTTATCAGATCAATCTGGTAGTGGTTTTAAAATAAGCGCCTTTAGATTGCACACAATTTGATACCAAAATCAAAGATATAACATGAAACTTGATGTCCAAACACTTGAAATATTATAAATAGGTCTATGGTCTGAATATTAAAATATTTGTTAAAATTCTATTTATTGTCCTATTATCTTGGGACTTGTTTTAAAATGTGCGCCTTTTTATTGCGAACAATTTGATACCAAAATGAAAGATGTAACACAAATATTTATGTCAGAACACTGGAAAGATATAAATAAATTTGTGATGATGAGCGTCCAGAATTAAAATATTTGTTAAAAATCCAGTTATTGCTCTATTATTCTGGGACTAGTTTTAAAATAATCGCCTTTTTATTGCGAACAATTTGATACCAAAATGAGCGACGTAGCACGAAATTTGATGTTATCAAATTGAACGAGTTGAACATTAGGTTGCAATGTACAAAATGGTGCTCGTTCACGGGTAACTTTAGGCTTTTCTGCGGGGAGGCACTCCAGCCTTTTGTACATTTTATTCATACACATCTGTAGGGAATTTAATTGCGAACACAATGATACCAAAACGAGCGACGTAGCACGAGAATTAAGGTAAAAAAATGGAACGAGAATGCACATGTTACTGATTTTGTGCGTTTTTGCCGACTTTACGCTTTGCTGTTGGAAGTCACGCTAGGCTTTTGGACATTATATTTATACACACCTGTAGAGAATTTAATTGCGAACACAATGATACCAAAACGAGCGACGTAGCACGAGAATTAAGGTGATAAAGCTGGAACAAGTATACACATTTGGGTGTCACCGCGCGCTTACCCGCATGGAGGGGCCACCTACCCCTGTCAACCGCGAGTTTCCACGGAGCGCTAAGGGGTAAAAAACAAAAAACAAAAATAGCAAAGCACAAATAGCCAAATGATCAAATTACTCACTCAGAAACCAGCTTGAACCCAATCCTCTCCCACTCATAGCTCGCAACCAATTTGTGGTCGCATTTCAAGTCCATGAACATGACATGACAAGGACTTTCAATACCATGTCATCAGATCAAATCAAAGACCTTATTCATAAAAACAGCATTGAATGTAATGAAACTCCATTTTCTGGGCGAGCCCCAGAGGCTTCCAAACGCTAACTGAACTCATAAGTGCTATATTAGTTTGGGGTCTTCAGTCACAGGAGTCCTTATACCTACCCATGAGCACTTTACATTTAAAGTGTGACATACTTGCAATTGACTGGGAAAGGACCCAGAAAGGTAGGCAATCAAAACAGACCACTGTCATGTTAATCTGTGCAATCTACATCCTAAAAGATGAAGATAACTCCCCTAGAAAGAAAGTAAACAAGAACATTTTATGCAACAAGCATTCCCGCCTGTTAGCGCTACCCCTTCCCTCCTACAAGAGGGAAAAGAGGTAACCGGCAGCCCACCACTCCAGTTCTTGAACGATGAAAGACTGCTGGCCGGAGGGAGGGTGTCAGGGAGCCTCCTGTGGGGAGCCTCATTGGCTCCCTGAGCCTAATTACCCAAAGATAAGTAAAAGGAGGGACTTACGAGGGCGCCTGACCGCTGAGTGGACAGCGCTTCGGATTCGTAGTCCTGAGGTCCCGGGTTCGATCCCCGGTGGAGGCGGAGACAAATGGGCAAAATGTTCCTTTCACCCTGTTACCTAGCAGTAAATAGGTACCCGGGAGTTAGAAAGCTGCTATGGGCTGCTTCCTGGGGGGGAGGGTAACAAAAAGGAGGCCTGGTCGAGGACCGGGCTGCAGGGATGCTAAGCCCCGAAATCATCTCAAAATAACCTCAATATATACCTGGAAGGCAGCAGCACCACAGATCTCAAGACAAGGAAGAGACAGATGGCCACAACAGGCGCCCCAAAGCCACACATGGCCAGGAAGGAACCGGAACGTTCACAAGATACCTGGTGGCCAGGACCCTGTTCGAACTCTAAAATCCCTCGCAACCGAATGGAGACCCAAGACATGTCCCCCAAAAAAACGGCAAGAGCAGCATACTTCCTAACACCATGGGCACGAGGGTAAACCGCAGGCTGGCTAGACTTGACACTGGACAACCCGAGAGGCACGAGCCCTGGAACAGGGAACCAGGGAAACCGGATCCATCCAAACCAGATCCTCCACTCACATCGGAGGAGAGCGTGAAGCTTCCCAACCCGACCCCCAGAGGACAAGGCCAACAAAAACAAGACCTTCCAAAAGCAATCCCTTACCGAAGGGGCCACAACAAAGCGAGGAGAAGAAAGAAAGAAAGAACTCAGTCCAACGAACAAGAAGGCTCAGGTGACGCATGAGCAGGATAGAAGTGAAAAAAGCACAAGAAAACTTGCAGAATTGAGTGAAAGTAACATCCACTCCAAACCCAAGCTGTAGTGGCTCCGCCAATGCCGTGTGATAAGAAGCAACAGTAGCATGAGATGCTGATCCAGAAAAAGCCAAGAGAGAGAAAGAGGACAAAACAACCAGGTCAGAAATCGACGAAAACCTTCAAAGAGAAAGAAAAATGACTAAACTTTCTTGGAAACCACCAAGAAACTTCATACTGTAATTGAGAAGAAGTCCGCAGGTGGGACACCATCAAAGAAGCCTCCAAATCACCATACAAATGGCGACACACACACATCAGTATTACCTGACACATAGTGTGGAGCAGTAAATTGAACCAGCCAGGTACCTCATCCCCCCGATCTGCTGGTAGAGGCAGAGACGTGGAACGACTCCCGGGTTTGGACACTGAGCAACTAGCACCTGAAACCAAGGCTGGGCTGGCAACCATTGCTAGTTTGCAGATTGCTGATGGGACAAGGATAGAATACAGTTGAAGATCTCGATATCATCACTAGCAGACTAAACTGGAATATTTGTAAATGAGGTGATAGTCCAAACGAAAAAAATACTCAGTATGAAGATGAGATAGGAAAAAAAAAGGAAAAGGTGCTGGTGTCACTGCGTTGGTGAACAATTAATTAAATGTTAATGAAATAATCCTTAACAACCCATGAGATGTGGGCATAATAGCGCTAGACATTCACAACCAGAGATACAATAGTTGTACTTGTAAGTGCCTACAACCAACTAACAAGCAGTACATGAACAAAGGAAGAATTAGACAATAAATAAGAGGGTCTTATAATGGATTTGACAGAAGTAATAAAAACAGCAGAGACAGAACACACAAAGCCAAATTGATGTTACTTGGAGACTTTAATATGAAAGCAACACAAAAGCCATAGACTGGGAGGCCTGTGATAAAAGGACGGAAGATTTCTGGCCCGAGATTCACGAACCACTTCTTGGAGGTTCGTGAATAGAACCTCCAACTTCTTGGAGGTTGGAGATACTCCGTGTATCATGGATGCCTTCTATGGAGGCATCCATAACCAATGTGAATAAGAGAAGGGAACCTGCCATCAATACTAGATCTAGTAATATTTACCATGAATGAGGAAGAGATCTTTGATATACTGTACCTGCATCCAATTGGCAAGAGTGGTCATGTAATCTTTGAAAATACTGTACACCATGTGGCATAACATTGAAAATAACCAAAGAATATTCACTTTAAGAAAGGACAACACAGGAGTTTGAAAGACTTCTTTATTGGGATTGACTGGAATGGTTTGTGGTTAGGTAATGAGATAAACACGAGTGCAAATTTTTGAGAGAGCTAACACTTTCGCGCTCTCCGCAAAGGTCACTCAGCCAACCGAATGTGCGCGCTGCGTTTTTATCGCTTAAGCGTAAAAACAAAAATGTGTATACTCTTTTTACTCTTCTGACCTTAGTTCTCATGCTACGTATTTCATTTTGGTACCAACGTGTTCGCAATAAAATTCTCTAGAAGAACATTAGTAAAATAAGTCACGAAACATATAGGGATACCAGCACCAAATAAATAACTACGTAGATGACTCGCCGTGAGCGCCCATCAGCAACAAAATGTTTTTACTCTTGGGATTGTAATCACCTCCACACTTGCTCTACAGCGTTAATTTTGGTATCAATGGACTCGCAATGAAATTCCCAACACGGTGATATGAATATAAGCGTAGAATAATGATGCAGCCCGCCCGCAAGAGTGTGGGAAGTGGTGAAATTGTTACCCGTATCGGTGACGGGACGACGCACGGCGCTTTGAAAGTTTATACTTATTTCACTCTCATGACATTAATTTTCTATGTACGTCATTCATTTTTATGTCAATGTGTTTGCAATAGAATGTTCTATGTGCCCATAGGTAAAAAATATCAACAAAGCGTAAGTTAGAATAGCGACAAATATAAAACAACGCTGGAACATATCTGTGAGCGTCAAACACACACGAAATATTTTTACTTTTGTTATGTTTGTCAAGATTATACTTGTTGCACACAGTTATTTTTGGTTGTATATTGATCGGAATAAAATTCCCTAAACAGACATATGCATATAATACATGATATGGGGGAAGAATTACCAGTATAAACGGCTAAAGTCACCCACCTTCAACCCGTTTGGGACAAAAAACCATTTGATCGAAGTTATCCACACCTTTCATGAACTTATTGTACCATGCAGCCTAGTGGTTAGAAAGAGAGCCTCATAGCGCGCAGTTTGAAACAAACCCAAAGTAAATCGGATAAAAATTGAATTTTATACAAATATTTTAAAAGTTGACATAACTTTATGTCCACTATGCGTTTACGTTAGACGAAACCGAACGCGCCGGCGCGTCCAGATAGCGCGAAAGTGCTAAGAAGGCCACGCAAACATTTATACCAAAAAATAGAAAAGGAATATAGAAAATTAGACTGGTTTAATAGAAATTACAAGAGCTGAGAACAAATTTAATATAGGAAAATACTAAACCCACAAACATACCAGTAATATAAACAAGAAAAACTACATGGCAGTGAGAAGAGAGAATAAAACTTTGTGAAGGTAATAGGAGACAAAAGTAAATCAGAAGTATCCAGAGGAGTAGAAAAACTGCTCAGCAAGCTAATCAGAAATAAAGTATTCACACCAGATGGAATCTCACCTTGGGTACTAGGGGAACGTGCATCTAAGATTAGCGCCCCACTACAGATTATCATGCAAATATCCTTACAAACAGGAAACCTAGATTACATATGGAAAAAGGCAAGCATAGTTCCAATCTATAAGAATGGGAAAACAGGAAAGATCCACTAAACTACAGACCTCTATCATTAACAAGCATGGTAGAAAAATCTCTACCAGCAAATTATTAACGTCAAATGAACAACCTTGAAAATAATGACATCATAACAGGCAGAGTTTGGTTTTAGAAGAAAGTCTTATGTAACAAATCTACTAATTTTCTATGACAGAGCCGTATGAAGACTGCAAGAAAGGAAGTGACGAGCCAACTGCATATACCTGGTCTTAAAGCCTTTGACAGTCTCACAGGACACTTTTGAAAGTTAGAACTCTTTGGAGGAGTGAGATGAAGACTTCTAAATCAGACGAGAAACTTTTTAACAGACAAATTCAAGCAGTGATCTGATGATCTGACTGGAGAAATGTCACTAGTGGAGAGCCCAAATATTCAGTTCTTGAGCAAGTGATGTTTAGTATATTGTTATATTATATATATATATATATATATAATATACCTGTATATATATATAATATATATATATAATTATATATATATATATATATATATATATATCATATATATATCAAGGCATTTATTAACATTAAATTCCATTTGCCAAGTGGCGCTCCATGTACTTATTTTGTCCAGGTCTTCTTGAAGGGCATGACAATCATCTAAGTTTCTTATCCTTCCTATTATCTTAGCATCATCAGCAAACATGTTCATATAATTCTGTATACCAACTGGTAGATCATTTATGTAGACAATAAACATCACTGGTGCAAGAACTGAACCCTGTGGTACTCCACTTGTGACATTTCTCCAGTCTGATACATTGCCTCTGATCACAGCCCTCATTTTCCTATCAGTCAGAAAAATTTTCATCCATGTTAGAAGCGTACCTGTCACTCCTCCAATATTTTCCAGTTTCCAGAACAACCTCTTATGTGGAACTCTGTCGAAAACCTTTTTTAGGTCCAGATAGATGCAGTCAACCCAACCATCTCTTTCCTGTAATATCTCTGTTGCTTAATCATAGAAACTGAGTAAATTCGATACACAGGATCTTCCAGATCGAAAACCATACTGTCTGTCTGATATTATATCATTTCTCTCCAGGTGTTCTACCCATTTAGATTTAATTATTTTTTCCAATATTTTGACTATTACACTTGTCAATGATACCGGTCTATAATTAAGGGGGTCTTCCCTGCTTCCACTTTTGTAGATTGGAACTATGTTAGCCTTTTTCCACACATCAGCTACAACTCCTGTAAACAGGGATGCCTGAAAAATCAGTTGAAGAGGAGTGCTGAGCTCAGGTGCACATTCTCTCAGAACCCATGGTGAAACTCCATCTGGACCAACTGCTGGCAGACAACCAACATATGGCAGACAATGTACAGTACATCTAAACACCAGAACATAGGAAAACTGTTGAAAGTCATACCAAACCCGTCAGCCTGTGGATGACCACTCCATATGAACTGAGGCAGATATCATAAAACAAGCAGGTTTTCACTAATATGCAAACAACAATAAATATAAGGAATTTTCACAAGGTTGCTGAGAAATGTAAAATAGATTGAATACAACATATGATGAATATAGGAGCAACAGAGCAGAACTACATCATTATCATCTTGGAGAAAAAAAAATTCAAGTGAAAATAAAAAGAGGAGGAAAATAGACAGTAGTGAAGAGTGAATTGATATGAAAAATAATCTCAACATTGAAAACTGTACAATAATACAAAGTGAAAAATCTTACCAAGATTAGCATAAAAATCACTAAATAGAGAAAGATGATCTCTAAATTCCGCTGCTGTAGAAAGGGCAAGGAACACTTGGTTTCTTCTACCATCGGCGCCAATCTGAAAATACACCAAAAGTCAGAGGGGTCATCAATGTAAAGAAGCACGTTCACTCCCATATATATGTTTAGTAATATCCAGCAACTGAACAAATTGAACTGTGTACAGTATTGGTAAGTCAAACAAGTATATAATAAATGGAAGAAATATAGGTCGCTGAAACTCAATCATGTGAGGCATTGTTCCACCGTCCCTCTACCACAATCATGTGAGGCATTGTTCCACAATCAAGTGAGGCATTGTTCCACCGTCCCTCTACCACAATCATGTGAGGCATTGTTCCACAATCAAGTGAGGCATTGTTCCACAATCAAGTGAGGCATTGTTCCACAATCAAGTGAGGCATTGTTCCACAATCAAGTGAGGCATTGTTCCACAATCAAGTGAGGCATTGTTCCACAATCAAGTGAGGCATTGTTCCACCTTCCCTCTACCACAATCAAGTGAGGCATTGTTCCACCTTCCCTCTACCACAATCAAGTGAGGCATTGTTCCACCTTCCCTCTACCACAATCAAGTGAGGCATTGTTCCACCTTCCCTCTACCACAATCAAGTGAGGCATTGTTCCACCTTCCCTCTACCACAATCATGTGAGGCATTGTTCCACAATCAAGTGAGGCATTGTTCCACCTTCCCTCTACCACAATCAAGTGAGGCATTGTTCCACCTTCCCTCTACCACAATCATGTGAGGCATTGTTCCACAATCAAGTGAGGCATTGTTCCACCTTCCCTCTACCACAATCAAGTGAGGCATTGTTCCACCTTCCCTCTACCACAATCATGTGAGGCATTGTTCCACAATCAAGTGAGGCATTGTTCCACCGTCCCTCTACCACAATCATGTGAGGTATCCTCCCTCTTACTACACAAGTGTGCACAATCACTTGCGAGACACAATGTGTTGCGGTAGTCAACACTGCAGGACCACACAGTGTTGAAGGGCGTGTGAGCGGGCAGATGCAGCTATAATTACTACGCACACTGAAAGGATAAGAGCCATGGGAGCCGGCCGAGTGGACAGCACGCTGGATTTGTGATCCTGTGGTCCCGGGTTCGATCCCGGGCGCCGGCGAGAAACAATGGGCAGAGTTTCTTTCACCCTATGCCCCTGTTAGCTAGTAGTAAAATAGGTACCTGGGTGTTAGTCAGTTGTCATGGGCTGCTTCCTGGGGGTGGAGGCCTGGTCGAGGACCGGGCCGCGGGGACACTAAAGCCCCGAAATCATCTCAAGATAACCATGGTGGTTGTGTCTCATCTTCCCAATTATATATCTGCAGTATGACACTTTAAAACTATAACTATAACTTGTTCCCACCATCTACAACTGTTTTTGGAGTTTCATGTATCTCTCAACATTTGGGATCCATCTCATTTCCCTGGAAACACAAACCGAAAATGTGTATTTTCCGCTTGTTACAACTTGTAATAAAGTTGTTACATCTTGGCTTAACGTGTTTATGACGTATTAGAACGTTGTTACAACTTGCTATATTGGTTGTTATAACTGGTTAGGAGGTGTTAAAACTTGTTCGAACGTTGTACCAACGTAGTTACGGTGTGTTTGGCGGGTTACTTCCTTGTCTACCAACAAATCTTTCCAATCAAATTAATGTCAGTAATTGTTAAGTTCAGCAGAGTGCAGTAAAGGTTCCTTGCTGTTTCACTTGCCTCACTTTCTTCTACATTATAACACGCTGCATATAAGAATTTCCAAAGGGACATGACCGTGCTAACCTAATGGAGGAAGGTATAGTACTATCTTGCTATTATCTTGAGATGATTTCGGGGCTTAGCGTCTCCGCGGCCCAGTCCTCGACCAGGCCTCCTTTTTTGTTACACACCCCCAGGAAGCAGCCCGTTGCAGTTGTCTAAACCCCAGGTACCTATTTACTGCAAGGTGAACAGGTGCATTAGGGCAAAGGAAACTCTGCTCATTTGTTTCCGCCTCCTCCGGGGATCGAACTCGGAACCTCAGGACTGTCTATCCCGAGCGCTGTCTATTCAGTTGTCAGACCACTACTAAAGGTCAAACACAGTAGCCTTCATGATGTACAGTATACCAGAGTGCGCTCTGGTATACCAGACACTAGCACTGATGGAACACCGCCCCACTGTGGCAGTGTGTACATACTCGTACACTGGTCTCCACAACGTTTATGAGTCTACCAGTCTACATGTCCTGTGTGGGGGGGGGGGGGGATGGGTGGGACGGAAGACAGGAGGGAGGGAGGGGATGGGAGCGTGTGGGAGAGAGGGGGAGAAGATGGGAGGGAGGAGAAGAAGATGGGAGGGAGGAGGAGGGATAGGAGGAGGGAGGGGGAGGGAGGGGGAGAGAGGGGGAGAGAGGGGGAGGGAGGGGGAGAGAGGGGGGAGGGAGGGGGAGAGAGGGGGGAGGAAGGGGGAGAGAGGGGGGAGGGAGGGGGAGAGAGGGGACAATCCAGGAGCTCCACGAACTCCTGAACATACAGCCACTAAACATCAGACTGCAGCACCAAGCCATCAGGGTGTGGAACACCATCCCAATGTTAGAGGACCCAATGTTAGAGGACCCAATGTTAGAGGACCCAATGTTTGAAAGATTACTCCAAGATGAGACGCCCCGCTCCCACAGCTGGTGGCCCAAGAGCCTCGATTCTCTGGACGAAAACCCCGCCCCACAGTATATAATCCCCAGATGAGTTATATATGTATATATATGAACAGTTCATATATGTGTATGTATGAACAACTCGATAAATAATATGTATGACAACTCGATAAATAATAATAATAAAATAAAGAGTCTTAAACAGAATAACATGTGTGGAAGCATCGGAGTGTGTATATATGAATGCTACACAGTATTCATCTGTAGACATCCATATGTGGTGAAACACATGTGAAGAACCTCTCACACACTCACAGCTCCCTGACAAGAGGGAGCCAGCTTAGCTTAGCTGCCAACACCCACACATCGTGTCAGCAAGGCGGACAGCCCGCCTGCTTTCATACCTCTCACTGTATTTCCCACTTCTATACTTCCCTTCACCTATGCCTCTCCTTCCTCTTTACTCCCCCCCCCAAAAAAAAGAGGGGGGGAGAGGGGGGAGAGAGAGGGGGAGAGAGGGGGGAGAGAGGGGGGAGAGAGGGGGGAGAGAGGGGGGAGAGAGGGGGGAGAGAGGGGGGGAGAGAGGGGGGGAGAGAGGGGGAGAGAGAGGGGGGAGAGAGGGGGGGAGAGAGGGGGGGAGAGAGGGGGGGAGAGAGGGGGGGAGAGAGGGGGGGAGAGAGGGGGGGAGAGAGGGGGGGGAGAGAGGGGGGGGGGAGAGAGGGGGGGAGAGAGAGAGGGGGGGAGAGAGGGGGGGAGAGAGGGGGGGAGAGAGGGGGGGAGAGAGGGGGGGGGAGAGAGGTGGGAGAGGAGGTGGGAGCGTGTGAAAATTGGCCTGAAAATTACAGGCCAATTTCCCTCCTTGAAGTACCAGGCAAAATATTCGAAAAAAATAATCAGCGACTTGTGAAGTATATGGAGGAGGAAGGGAAGTACAACACCAGGCAGCATGGGTTTAGTCACCACAGAGGGGCCCATACAGCTATAGCCCTGTTCTACCAGCATATAGCCAACGCAGTGTCGAAAAAAGATCAGTGTAATATAGTGCTTAGAGACGTCTCGAAAGCCTTCGACAAAGTGTGGCACACAGGCCTAAAATATAAGATATCTGAACTAGGACTTCCTGAGAGATTTACTGCTACTCTCTGCAGCTTTATAGACAATAGAACTGCTAGGCTTAATATCGGCAGCTACTTGGGTGACGTAATAGAACTGAAAAGTGGAGTACCACAAGGAAGCTGCCTCTCCCCCACTCTATTCAACATATATACAGCTGACCTACCCCAACCCCAACATGGAGAATACATCACATACGCTGACGATGTCACCCAAATAATATGCCAACCGGGACCATCAAAGCCGCTACTAGCCGACAATGCCAAGGCGGCAATTGAACTCAAACAACTTTGAGAAGCAATGGAAAATTAGCACCAACAAACAAAAGTTTCAGATAATACACATTGCGAAAAGAAACCCGGACCCCATCATCCTTGACAATCATCCGATCCAATATGCGGAGGTAGGCAGAATACTGGGACTTATGATAAATAGAACAGGGATACAAACTCATGTAAGGGACCGACTAAACAAAGCCAAAGCAGCATTAGGAAAACCGAGAAGATTCCGAAGCCTCAGTACTAACATTCAGATCCACCTATATAAGGCTCTAGTTCGGCCGCATCTAGAGTATCCCCCAGTACCACTACACACCATAAAGAAAACTAACATGCAGAAACTGCAAGCAGTACAAAATAAGGCGCTAAGGAGAGCAGCAAAACACCGTCCACCATATGATCAGACAATCCAGGAGCTCCATGAACTCCTGAACACACAGCCACTAAACATCAGACTGCAGCACCAAGCCATCAGGGTATGGAACACCATCCAAATGTTAGAGGACCCATTGTTTGAAAGATCACTCCAAGATGAGACGCCCCACTCCCACAGCTGGTGGCCCAAGAGCCTCGATTCTCTGGACGAAAACCCCGCCCCACAGTATATAATCCCCAGATGATATACTAACCAGATATCCTTCCCCCAATAATTGGAAAAATTGAGTATGTATGTGTGTATGTACGTGTATATGAATATAAATGTGTATGTATATAAATATATGTATATGTATGAATAACTCAATAAATAATAAAATAAAGAGCCTTAAACAGAATAACATGTGTGGAAGCATCGGAGTGTGTATATATGAATGCTACACAGTATTCATCTATGGACATCCATATATGGTGAAACACATGTGAAGAACCTCTCTCACACTCACAGCTCCCTGACAAGAGGGAGCCAGCTTAGCTTAGCTGCCAACACCCACACATCGTGTCAGCAAGGCGGACAGCCCGCCTTGCCAGTATCTAGGCTTTGTCTCCACAGGATGTGGAGGACCTGCGATAATGGTTTTTTA